GGGGGGGGGGGGGGGGGGGGGGGCCGGGCTTCGCGCCGCGGGGGGCCGGCGGGAAGCGCAAGGGGGTTGGGGCTACTCTCCAGTCCTGGTGCAAGAGGCGGGCCGGGCTCTTGATCTTGAGCCCGGATCCCCACTGCCTAGGTGACTGCGGGAAAGACTGGTCTGCTGCTTGTACTCTTGATTTTAAGTTTGACAAGGGAGTAAGGAGACAACGCAAACTTCTTGCCGTTTTCTTAAAAGAAAAAAGGTGGTTTTCTTTCCCCTTTTCAAAATTGAGAACCAAAGAGAAAAGAGCCTACCGGGCTGACGACTGTGCAGCTGTAATTGCCATTTCTCCTCCCCTGTACAGTTCGTGAGAAGGCAACAAGTTCTCCTCCTCTACAGAAGGATTTTGCAGGCAATTCGGCAAGTTCCAAATGATTCTGATCGCAAATACCTGAAGCACTGGGCAAGGGAAGAATTCAAAAGAAACAAAAGTGCCACCGAAGAGGTGAGACCAAGATCATGGTGACGGTAGGCCCTGACCCTTTTGTACTGATTAGTGAGTTTTTTAAAAAAATTTGATAAATATCTTGGGATATGTCACTGAGATGGTATATCTTGATCATTGCTTTTGATGTTACTGATTTTTCACTTAACTGATAATTTTAACAATGTTTGCTATATCTACACTCTACAGTAGCACCACCCAACTTGTCTGTTAAACCACACACACACGAAAAGATAATAAATATTACAGCATGATGGTTTGGGAAGTATGTTTGGGGTGTATGAAAGCATGCCAGACATTGTGTACCCCTAATTGTTAACTTTTGGCTTTCCTAAAGGGCATCAGTGCCAGTTCTCAGTATTAGTTCCTAATTTTAACAAATAAAATGGTAGAGCCGTACCTTGTTTAACCAGTTAAAACAGTGACCAGATTTCACTTTCTTCTACAGGATACAATCCGGATGATGATTACTCAAGGCAATATGCAGCTCAAAGAGTTAGAGAAAACACTTGCTTTAGCCAGATCTTAACTACAGCATTATTCTGAAAGGTTTTCAAAGTCTCCATGTGTTTAGTTGAGCTTAGGCTCAACAGTGGGTAGCCCAAAGCCAAGTGAAACTGTCTGTACATAGAGCCCTTGAGCAAAATATCGGAACATGGAGCATGGCATATCAGAGAGAGCCAAGAAAAGGGCATAAGAGCAATTGTCTTAGCACTGAAAACATACCTTTTATTTTGAAAATGTTCTTGGATATGTCAGCAGTTTTTGGAAGAAGCAAAAACCAGTACGATAGCACATAAAAAGATGTTCAACACCATTAATCATTAGGAAAATGCAAATCAAAACCACCAAGAGATACTATTTACATCCACTAGAATGGCTATAATTAAAAAGGGAGATAATTGCAAATGTTGGCGAGGATGTGGAGAAACTGGAACCCTTAAACACTGCTGGTGGGACTATAAAATTGTGCAGCCACTTTGGAAAAAAAGACTGTCAGTTGCCCAAAAGGTTAAACAGCATTATTCATAATAGCCAAAAAGTAGACAATCCAAATGCCCACCAGCTGATTAATGGATAAGTAAAACGTGGTATACCCATACAATAAAATATTATTTAGCAAACAAAAAGGGATGGAGTACTGATACATGCTACACCTGGATGAACCTTGAAAACATTAAGTGGCCAGTCACAAAAGATCATGTAT